AGTATACTATTTTAAGGGAATGCGATTTTCGAAATAACGCCCATGTGCGCTATTCCGCGGTAATACGGTAATTAAATGCTAAACATCAAGTTATTAACCCATTTCACTGACAATTTAGCGTTATTATTAGTCTGATTTAGTATTGACTAACTTAATTACCTGCAAAATCTATCAGAGTCAAGTCATATTATGTATCGGTTAATTGTTTACTAAAGATGCTGGATGCCTACTGGTTATTCTCAGCATTTTGCTAACATTCTGTTTGCTGAATAAGCGTTCAGTTAATTGAATATTAACAGAATGTCGAAACCAGTGGCCATTCTGCACCTTTGATAAGCCGAAAAATAATATGTAATGCCAAGATAAGTTTAGGGCTCATTTTCTATTTTTATTGCTTCATTAGACTAATCAAAAATTCGTAATTTGATTAATAAATCAGCATGAAACCCATTCGTTTTAATCGATCACATATTGTATTATTAGTACAGTATACTGTAAAACTTCTCTATCGCCATTTTCGCTAAAATTTTTTGTAAAACATGGTATGACTAAATTACTGCATTACTTTTAATATTTATATTCATGCCCAAAGTTACCATTTACTTGAAATCGGCTTAAGTTACTTGAAATTCTGAAAGATTTAATTTCAAGAAGGCTTAAATTCAGTCAACAAATGCCTGAAGCCAAACACGATATTTATATGCCGGGGCAAAATATAGTAATCAGCACAATCTATTAATTCGCGATAATAACATAATCTACATGCAAATTTACTAAAACAGGATCTTGCTAATTTAATATCAAATAGATATAGATCACACAAATTTATATTGCCATTAGGGAGCGATTATTTTGAATATAAAATATTTTAAAGGTATGATTCAAACGAATAAAAATCAATGGGTATGGAGAAATAATTTGAAATAATTTAAATCAAATATAGTATAGTATACTTTAAAATCTGCGAGAGCAATAAACTTAAGGCCATACAAATTAATTTTTTGGTTCTCATACTCAACATAGTTTTAAAAATGACTCGGCATCCTGGCTTTTAATTTTATTTTCAAGAAATTTTATATATAAAAAAAACATATAAAATTTTTTTATAAACATCTTAAAAAATCACCCGGTTAGTAAATATAGTCAAAATTTTGCAGAATTTGACCCGGCAGAGTTATAAGAACCAATTTATTAAGTTTGTATGCCAAATTTTGCCCAATAATCACATAACAGGTACTTATTGGCTGTTTCGCATCCAATAACTATATAATATCGGGAGACAAATCTCCCGATATGTACCCATTATTCTACCATAGTAGCATATAGATAGCATATTGGTAGCATATAGGTTAGATATCGGGAGGTAAATCGATAATAGTAACATAACAGTAACATACTGGGACATCCCGGTATCTTACTCTTAGCACTATTTGGACTAAGAGTAAGATACCGGGACGTCCCAGTATGTTACTGTTATGTTACCATTATCGATCTATCTCCCGATATCTTACCTATATGCTACCTATATGCTATCTATATGCTACTATGGTAGAATAATGGGTACATATCGGGAGATTTGTCTCCCGATATGTACCCGTTATTCATTGATTCAACCTGTGAATGTATCAATAAACGGAGATAATCACTATATACTATATAATAAATAAATTAAAATTTTAGAGCATGCTTTATAACTAAAGTTTTAGATTAACATCTCTTGTTATACAATTTAATTAATTGATTTATTTATAATATTAAATAGAAAATTTTCGGCTGTCGAAAAATATTTACGTTTATAACCTTTAAAGAAATTTTTTTTTATAATTTAATAGTTATCTGCCAATAGCCCGACAGAAAACACGGCTGAATACTTCCAACAAATTGTCAATATGGGAGAGAAGGAGCGCATCCTTTTTCATTACTGTATTGAGCTTACGATAGTCAATGCACATTTGCAGCTTACCGCTCTAAATTGATTTCGTGCTACAAGATTTTTAACTTTCGAAAAAATGCTTTCAATAGGGTGGAAGAACTTTTCTTTGACGGTTTCCTTCTTGAATCTTCTTACATCTTAAAAGATAACATTTTACGTGAGATAATCGTTACAATCACTAAATTTTTTTTTTTACAAAAATAATGCTCATGCTGCTCAAGATCTTGCTTAAGGTCATGCTCATGTTGCTCAAGATCACATTCACACTGCCTAAGAGTATATACAGCCAACACCCTTTAAGTGCAAGTTCTTTATTTTGTAAGTGCAAGATTTTTTTAGCCAACATATATATAATTATTTTCTCTAATTGCAAGATATTTTATTAACCAATTAAATTGTTTTATTTAATCAAAGTAAGTGCAAGATATTTTTTTTAACTTATTAACTTGCATTTAGGGAGAATTAATTTTAGTTTTTTTTAATTGCAAGTTCTCTCCAAATGCAAGATATTTTGCTGGCCCATTGATTTCACTTAGAGAGAGTTGACTGTAGTGTCATAAGCAAACTGAACATCAAATTTGCTTGCAATTGCTAGGTATAGCATACATTTTTCTATATATTTTTCTTTAAGGCAATTTTCATTAAGCCTTTTACTTAGCCTTAAGATCATTTTCATGCTATCTAAAATTATTTCGTCGTTCAAGATTATTTTCACAACTTTGAACACTATAAACAATAATATAATGAACACCAAACTTCTTTAAATTAATTTATAATAAAATACCAGGGAAAAAAAATAACCATACGCGAAAGTTTAAATACAAAAAATATTTGATACATGGTTTCAGAGATGATCACTCTTACTTATCCAACCACCACAAGAGGTATTTCCACCGGTACTTGTTGTGGCTCGGTTCCCAGCTTTGAGCGGGTTGTTCCCTTGAATTATTAATATATTTCAAGTATTTAATTAAGTAGCTTAACTCAAGTTATCCTCTAAGAGTTCGAGAAGGTCCGTGCTGTTAAATGTACTCCAAATAAATAAATGAATAAATAAAATAAATGACAACTATTGAATGAAGTACTTATATATCTTTTTCATCAATGTATTTTATTGTTTTTATTGTTATTAGTTACCGTATAAGCGCGAAAAAAACGCGCGGGGAGTTATTTCAAATAATGGCCCGAATTAAGTTTAATTTAGGTCAAATTTCGAAATTACACCCCTGCGCGATATTTCGCGCCTACACGGTAATCAGTTACCGTAACTATTAATCAGATGATTTCGATTCTGGACTTTACTATAACGAAAAGCAAGAAAATTATTTACCAAATATTTTGTATAGAAAAGCCAATAAAAGAAACTTTTGGCTAAAGTCAGGCTATTGGCCAATTGGCTGACCAAAAGGCCAAATATGTACATCGCTTTCCAAATCTAGTGCTTTATTCTTTTTGGTACATACGTACCAGATGCTAAAGATTTAATTGGTTATTATAATATTACTTGGTCAAAAAATAAAATTGTTCATATCGATATTAAAGAGAAAAAAATTATATCGACAATATTATATACAGAATCACTATTAATAAGATTAATATCCAATACTATCTCATTTGGAGAAGTTCGCATAGTAGCAAATTTAGCAGTTTAGTTTTCTAAAAGAAGGTATATATTAAGATTATTTTCGTACGTAGCAGTGGTGAAACCATCTATTAATTATTTGAATAGTAGATATTGTACGTACGTACGTACGCACAAGTTGTGCAACAAATAAAAGATAAAAGGATAGATTGGACTTTAGATCTCCTATTGAATTTCTTGAGCATGATTTGAAATATATAAGATAAATTGCTTGTCTTTGCAACTTTTGTTTGAATTATTTCTTAAAATCGGATACGAAATAAATTTTTTATTAACTTCAAAGACTATTTTAATGATTTATATTTATGAAATATGTCAAAGTTTACTGTTCAAGAAAAGTCTGCATCCTCATTACTTGGACAAGATGAAAACGATTTAAGTTTGTTAAAACATAGGTACGTTGATATTCCTTAATACTGATACTGAGCTTAGTATTTCATAAAAATAATAACTAGTTCTTAATAGATCACCTTCTCCATTCTCGATTCTCCCCATTCCACTTACAAAGAAAATTCTCTCCCACATCTCTTACTTTTCAGACATCCCACACCTTCGTTTAGTTTGTAAAACCTGGTCAAAAGCGATTGATCAAATTCTTTTTACACGCATCATCGATAACTTCTCAAAACTCTACCCGATTGTCGCTACATTAACTCTACGATGTCATGATCACTCTAAAGTTATAACAGAACATGAAATTCAAATGGAGTTAAGGACAATTCCAAAGCCAGAGAAATATACTACAAAGTTTATGATTGAATTTTTACCAATTACTACCAGTTTAAAAAAACCGTTGATTAAAGATTTGTTTAAGAATGTGGAGGCTTTTTTTAAATGTTATTATATTGATGAAAATAAATATAGTTTTGAGACCAAAGATAAGTGTTATATCAAGGAGGAAAGTGATGATATCAGTAAAGCAGATAAAAACTCAGATAAAGGTAAAAATAAAACTAAGACTAAAGATAATTTTCCTGATATCATCAAAGATAAAAAAAGAACTGATGATAATAATTGTATTGGAGTAAAAACAAAAATGTTAAAAGAAGTAGAAATTTCAGAAATAATTATGTTATCTTTAGGTACATGTACCAAATCTCAAAATTTTTCTCATGAAATTGCTGCAGACTTAGCTATTGAATTTCAGTGTGTTTCTGACAAACCCATGACATTTTCTGTAAAGTCGGTTGGGTTTAGGCCTTTATTTGTGATTTGCTGGTTTAAAAATTTTTTAAAAAATGATGAACGAGAAATGTAACAAAAAGGTTAATAATTAATATATACTTATTGAATAAAATAGATATCGAAATGTGATTTAATAAAAAAAAACACATATATAAAAGCAATGGTTCTTTATATTTGTTATTGCTGTAAAAAAATGGGGTAAGACTTTAAAATTTATATAACTGTAAAATTCACCGGTAAAAATAGGTTATCAAATTATATATATATGGGTGCCAATATAGAAAATCAGGCATTGAAAATTTTGAATTTAATATCGTTATTTCTGGACTAAACTCTTAAAGATTTAATCATAGTATATTTAGAGTGGCATACATGTACCAAGTTTTACCACCTTTCATCAGTCAATCAATTTTGTCATCTTCCGTCAAATTGTTATTTCATCATTTAAGATTTGGTTAACGAGGCTTCGCATTCGTCAGCGCGAAACCTCCTGATTCTTCAACAATTATACGCGGACACCACATCCTAAATAATTTACAAATAAATTATATTTCAAATCAAGTCGCGTACATGTATCGGTAAGTTTCAGGAAGGTAGACAATTGATATGTTTAAAAATACGAGATAATATGGTAACTAATTAAAACAACAAGCGATTATATCACTATACAACTACATTATTTTACAGAATTTGGCAAAAGGATAAAAATTATTACATTAACCCCAAAATTTCGTGGTAATCACCAGAGAAAACACTCAGATTGCTCTGCTGTATTACGAGATTGCTCCGCAGTCCTACAGATTTCTTGCGATTATTACCAAATTTTAAAAATTTAAAATTTAAATATATATATATAAATAAACTGACTGGTTATAAAATTGAGATTACGAATACTTAATGATCTATAATCGATCTTTCATAGATGCATTTTCTAAGTGTGCTTCGCATGCACTTTATATACGACCCAATCTATCTAAGGTAATATATGTAATACCAGGAACGTAATAATGCAATTACGAAGTGGCTTCATATAAAATGTAATACCAGATATGCATCTCAATCTGATGCCTCCTCTCGAACATGATGCAGAACAAATACTGTATAATAGAACTGCGTCACAGACGGACGCGTTGAAGATCAAAGTTTTTAATATATAGATTATAATTATAATACAAAAATGATCCGGATGATAAATATTCTTTTATATTGTCGAAAAATTAATCGTCAAAATGGAAATATATATATCGATATCACTATTTTATTTTCGCGCTTCAGATAAGTTGGATACTAGGCCACGTAAAGTTAATTTTTCGTTTTGCAATACCCACCGACCCAAATTTTTTTTTTTTTCAGTTCCAATTGCGCCAATTATTCTAATTTTGCCATCCGACTGTCAACCAAAATTTCTGATTCCACATTATGCAAAGCGAAAAATTAACTTTGCGTGACCTTGGATGTGAACATGATTCTATTGGATATTTCAGAATCAACAGTAGTTACTTCAGACAGGGTTCATATCACCTCGTAGAAGTTTATTTCGTTTCACAGACAATCAATTCGTAGACAAGTTTGTTTTAAAGACAATTAATTTACAGATAGTTCATTTTATAGACAGTTTATTTTATAGACATTTTATTTTGTAAACAATTTTTAACGCCGATTCAGAAGATCTTTGCTATTAAAGATTGTCTATAAAATAAAAATAAACTGTCTATAAATAATTGTCTTTAAAATAAACTTGTCTATGAAATGATTGTCTGTGAAATAAGGTGTCTGTGAAATAAACTTCTATGAAGTGATACGGACCCCTTCAGACAAGCTAGGCACTTTTAAAATGTTTACTATAGACGAACAAGCTAAAGGTTCCTTGTTGGATCAACCATTTCATATTTTATTTGATTCATACTTGTTTGCTTTTTGGACTATATTTTAAAATTCATTAATTTATATTAATTAAATAAATAAATAAATCTTTGGTTTACTTAGAACTTTTTTCTATTAGCGTCTCCTCAAGTAATATATTTTTATGTTTTTTGTTAAGATCTGTTGGTTGGCAAGAACGGACATGTAGTATCATTCAGAATATTCGGTTAATTTTTTTTACCACATGTCCAAAATTTATATAAATCGTATGGTACCAGGTGTAATGACTACAACTTCTAAAATAAAAATAATTTCTCTCCAGAATACTGTTTTATTACCTTCCCATAAGGTTTACGATCTCTCTCTCTTTTCTTGTTTTTCCAGACATGACCAATATAAAATTTATAGGCAAAGCAACAGTTAAACAATAGTAAAATTATCTTGCGATTTTACAATGTATTATACCAATAGTATAAGTATAGGTTGACTACTCTAGTCATATACTCTCACATGACATGGCTTGCTAACCCCAGAAATTTTAATGTATAGATATATATGGATGTAACTTTTTATTTACCCGTCCCTTTTTGGGGTCCTTAAAGTGGGCAGATACGTGAAATAACGTCTTTCATTAACATTAGGGTTAGAGAAGTTTATATTATATAAAATTACCTCCAAACATTTTTGTAATTCAAGGCAAGTTTAGACTACAGTTTTTTTTTCTCTTGTTTTGTGGCTGATCCAGAATCATCAATTTTAACGATTTGATTGGTTAATTATTTTATAATCTTTTCTGGAATTGTATTAAAACACAAATCGACCAATAAGATCTATGATAGACAAAATACCACTGTATATATACCTCAAAATTTTTCACATCCTTTATTTATTAACAATGCTTTCTTTTTTTGCTTATTATTTTTTTGTTTTTTGTGCTATCCACTTTCACATAGGTTTGGAGAAGTTAGATCATTTTGGTAGCTCTGGTCTAATCAGGTGAATTATTGATTGGTCATTATATGTGGTTGCATTTTCAACTTTTTATTTATTTAGTATTCTCTTTCACTTTACAAACTATTTTTAAAAATTATTTTTTCTACATTTGTTTTTAAGTTTTTTAAACTTTGTATTTGAATTAGTTTTGTCAAATAAGTAATATACAACTTTATAGAATCTTTGAACTTAGTAGTTTAAACTAAGCTTAAAGCTTTTTTACTATATTTATATACAATTTTTTTAAAAAAAGTTCTTGTGAAGCTAATAAATCTTGCAAAGTTTTATTTTTTTTATTTAGTAGTTTAAACAAGTTGTTTTTTATTATTTATATATTTTTCATAGTTTTTTTTTTGTTATCAATATTATTTTTATTTGCTTTAAAGAATTTATTATTATTGGTATATTTTATTTATTATTTTTTATAATAGAAAAGCAATATTGCAATATAAAAAATTTATAATATAGTCTGAATTGATTTTAAAGAAAATAATAGCATATTTTATACTTAGTAGTTACAAAAATTTTGTAATATAGTTGAATTGATTTTAAGAGATAATGATAGCATATTTTACACTTAGTAGAGTTAGTGTTCTTTTTATAAGAGGAGGGCCATTTATCAGCTGATATTTTGCTACTAAGTGGCTACCCCCTCCCCCCCTACCTGATCATAAATACTGCAATTTGATTGGCTAAAATTTTTTAAAAATTTGAAAAATTTTTAAACTTTAATATTTAATAAAATTTGAACCAATGATCTGTTTTAGATGATTTTACTACCAAAATGTTCGCTCAATGAGATGATTCCAACGAGTCTAAAATCATCAAAATCCAATCACTGGATCCCAAAATTGTCATAAATTTATATTGCTTTAATTATATTAGTTTTGTATATATTAAAAATTATTATTAAAGATCTTATAAATTTTAACATTGAATAACTTGTGTACCAGCGATCCGTTTTGGATAATTTTACTACCAAAATGCTCATCTCAGTGAGATGATTATAATGAACCTAAAATTGTTAAATTCTGATCACGAGATCCCAAGATCTTTATAAATTTGTATTATTTTTAATTGATTTAATATATTTTATATTAAAATAACACAAATCTATAACGATCTTGGGATCCCGTAATCAGAATTTAACAATTTTAGGTTCATTATAATCGTCTCACTGAGACGAGCATTTTGGTAGTAAAATAATTCAAAACGAATTGCTGGTTCACAATTTATTCAATGTTAAAGTTTATAAGATCTTTAATAATAATTTTTAATATATACAAAACTAATATAATTAAAGCAATATAAATTTATGACGATCTTGAGATCCAGTAATTGGATTTTGATGATTTTAGGCTCGTTGGAATCGTCTCATTAAGACGAACATTTTGGTAGTAAAATCATCCAAAACAGATCATTGGTTCAAATTTTATTAAATATTAAAATTTAAAAATTTTTTAAATTTTTAAAAAATTTTAAAAAATTTTAGCCAATCAAAAGTTATCTACTATTGGGACCTGATAATTTTCTGACCCCTCCATCCTAAAAAATCAGGTAATAAATGGCGCTTCCCTAAAGAGCTTGTATCTTTCAAATTAAATAGTTAGCAATAAGAAGTTTAATTAAATTTTACGAAACAAAGTAGTTTTAGACGAAAATATTCCAGTTACCCTCATTGCATAGTACAATTTCACATGGTCCAATAAATGGCAATATATTTTGTCTTCTAAGCAAAGTCTGTGAGAAGGAAGATTCTTTTGAGATTTTTTTGTATAGTGAATATTAGCATTTATTTAAAGCTGGAAATAGTTTTTGTGATGATTTTTTATTAGTGAAATGTTCAGTTTTAAAAAAGTACTTTAAAATATATAAATAAGCTACTCAGGTAATTGATTTACATTAGCCAATCAAACGAATATCTGACTATGAGGTCCAATGATTAACCTTTTTTGTTAGATTTTTTTAAACAAATTAGAAAAAAATTCTTTCTGTATTTAATACTCTATTTCTAAATAGATTTAGATTTTTTTTTTAATTCGGCAGTCTTGTCTTAACTGTTTATTAGTACTCTAAGGTATTGTAGTTACAAATGTATATACATATATTTACAACTATTTAATTTATTATAGATAAGACTTACCCAGTTACTAACTTAGTACCTGTGTGTGATCTACTATATGAGATTTTACCTTCTTATCAACCGTTCTGCAACAG